GGGGAAAATGCGATTTTATTTATAGGATTTTGAAAATCCTATAAATAAAATCGCATTTTCCCCGTGTCCCTGGTTGAATCTAATGTGTACGTACGTATTTTGCGTACAATGCATGGATGATGTATTTATGGAGAGTTAATGAAATTTGATAGATTTTTAATTTAATTTTTTATTTGAAAATTCATCAGTTTAAGGAAAACTAAGTTTCTATAAAAACTATTATGGCCTTATTACAATTTTGTGCTTATTCGAAAAGTGAGAAGTTTCTAACAAACCATTTATAACACATATCGATGCATATATGCCTAGATTCTGTCATAATTACAAATACGTTATATTCAAAAATCTTATATTTAACTGTTTGTTATTCTAATTCGAACACATAGTGTTGACTTCCTATAATAAAATGATTATAAGTGATATTTGCAAACGAAATCGCAATACTGAACCTTTGTTAGTCTATATTATGAGAATTGCTTTCATAATATTACTTTTGGGCTGCTTGTCTTTATTTACTATTAATACAATCCTGAATTACATTTATGATCAACCAATCATTAGCTATTCTCTTATTAATGATGACGTGCCAGTACCAGGTGAAGAAATGTCGAGAATAATTATCTTTTAAGCTCTTTAATTCACGCTAAAGAAAATAATTTATATCAGCTATACAATTCTCTTCGGAAGAATACTTTCTGCTAAACTGCTTCTTTGAAACACCCGAAAATAGAGGCACAGATGCATCATTTGAAAGTAATGCTTGTAATCGACATATTACAGAACCATCTGAAAAAAATGGAAGTTATTATAACTCCTATTTTATGTTACCATTTAATTCCAATTTTAAATTACTTTTAATGAGAAATGAAATATTTTTTTTAATCACGTTTTTTGAGTCTAGTCCACGATTTTTGGTTAAAGCTTTTGATTCAGGTATTTATTTCTCACTAGCTACACTCTAACTCTAACACATGCTCTCCATTAGGACAAGCCTTTCTTAAACACAATATTTGGTCTACTCTGTGGATTAAATATAGCATAACCATTAATCATATTTTAACTATTCAAATCTAGTTGAGTTTTGACCACTCTAGTAGGTTTAGATCACAGATAAATCAGTCTGAGCTTCTAATCTTGCATATAATTTATATTTATTTGCTTGTATACAAATTAAGTCTTTATATAGTCTCTATATAATTACTTATAGAAATTATCTAATAAAGATATAAGCAAGGCCTTACCTTAAAACCAAAAAAAAAAAAATAATAATATAACTAATCTATAGATTACTTTAAATCTATGGTTTAAAATAACCTGTTCAATGTGACCCTAACTCTAATTAAAATTGCCAATTGTACAGTACTAGAGATGTGAACCATTTGCTAACCTTAAAGTTTTTGGCTCGAATTATGATTAATTATTTCCAAAACAGAGTCTGTTAATGCGAGCCAAAAACTGTTAAGTTGACAAATGGTTCACATGTAAACTGTTTGCCAATGTAACAGGGTTTGGCACACATTATGGCTAATTATCTCAGAAAACTGTTTATAAAAAATACAATATTTTTTAGAATATACATATAAAAAATATATAACCAGATTTGAACTTTAAATTATAGTTTTTTTTTAAAATACAATAATAATTTCTGAGTTACTTTAATCTATGAATATTCATTAGCTTAAAGTAACCTGTGGATTATTTATATTATCAAATCTCTGTCAATTGTTATAAACAGTCTGAATTTTTTAGATTACAAACAAAATAAAATTTCACACAATTATAGTTGTTAGACAAAACTATGTGATGCTAAATGTCACATATCAAATCTTAATAAAAATTAGGTTAAATTTTTTAGTCTTGGTATTTTGCAACAGGTAATATTTGGCATCACATGGTTTCAACAACTATACACACGATTCACATCAGAAAGATATTAAAACCACATGATTTATCTGTTAAAGAGCTATTGTTGAAATAGATTATTATATGCGTAGATTATTTATCTTCAAATCATTATTTATATGAAGTAAAATTTCATGCGACATTATCAAAATTAAGAAGTTTATTGACTAACTTATTAATAAATGCTTTTTTTAATTTTGAACTTAGTGTAATAATCAAATGAAGTAAAAATTTATACAAATTTAGTGTAGCATGCAAACAAAATAAACCTTCAAACAAAACTATCTCATATATTTCAATTCAGAATACTGAGCATAGCTGATAAATGAATAAAAGAGAAAAAAATATATATAGAAAAAAAATATATATTCCAAAATTTTACAAAAAGATCCTGATTGTAGAAAACGATTAATGCTTGAGTCAAAAACTTAATAAATGTTATATATATACCCAATAACCAAATTAAACCAAGGTAATTTGAATCAGAATACCAATCACTATTAATGTTATTTAAACAAGAAAAGCTGTCATAGTTAATGAACGAATACTACTTTCATATTGAAATCGCAATTCTTGAAATTAATACTACATCTTTGATTACTCTTTTGTTGAGTAATAAAGTTACTATCGCACTAGAACCAAACATAAAGAAATTAATTCTGTAGACATTTTTTACATGTAATTTTTAAGAAGAGCATCTGCTAATGCTTCTCTGTCCTTAGTCCCCAGTTGGTTAAGATAAAGATCTAAAATTGCTAATTTATTGTTTTTGCAGAGTGCATTAGCTAAAGCTTTTCCTACATCAAAGCCAAGCTGATTATTTGAAAGATTTAAATAAATTAAACTGTTGTTTTTGATAAGTGCATTTGCTATTTCTTTTCCTCCAAATGAACCAAGTGTATAATTTGAAAGACTTAAAGTTTTATGTTTTTTACTTTTTTGTAAAAACATTGAAAGCAAAGAAGCTGCTACGGGATAAATACTATTTCTGAACTCTTCAAAAAAATATAACACTCCTCTGCTCAAACACTAACTATCAATAGAAGTAATAAAGCTTGTATATTCAAATAGTGGCATCGTAGAGTTTGCTAGAAAGTTAATTTTAAATGGGATTAACTATGCTTTTTCATCAGCATTCAGATCTAAAAGACATATTTTGATGACACATCAATTTTTAAAACAGTGAGACCTCTATAATATTGGAACAATAAGTCTACACCATTTACAGTTTCAAGGAGGCATGAAAATAAGATTTTATTCTTTAGATATTTAAATATTTCTATAAGGGTTTTATCTGGTAAGTGTGTGATAGAATTTATTTTTTGTAAAAAAAAAATTAAAGGTTAAAATTTTTTCGAGAATTTCACGTTTGGATTCTTTTCAACAAAATAAGTCTGGTTTTATCTAGTTTTACGCATATATAATTTTTTTTTGAAATACAGTATACATAGTTGTAATTTTATTTAATATAATTACTATGTGCAGTAAACTTGTATTTAACAGGTTTTTAATTGAATGGAAAAATTATGTTAATTTATTTTTTTACACAATATATGAAGTTTAATGTACATTCGCAGTAAAGTTAATAACTAGTTATGGTTATTCTATATTATTCATTATCATGTGTCATATAAATGATTTGGTTTATATAATAATCTCTGATTAAAAATTTGAACAAAATTAAAATATCTTTGAAGTTGGATGAACTCGAAAAAGCAAATAGTATAGTAAAAAATTGTAATACTTTTTTGTAAAGTTATTTGATATTTTATCATATATATTAATAATGTATCAACAAATATATCTTATGGCCAATAACTATACTAAATATAATCAGGCGAAGAATATTTTATTTTTGCGAGGTGAAATCGAAAGATTAGAAATTAAAAATCAATGATTGGCAAAGAATATTTTAATTTTGCAAGGTAAAATCAAATTAAAAAAAAATAAACATTGGTAATAATTTTACATTTCTATTTAAATATTAATTAAGAAACTCTTTTTAATCTTTAATAAATTTTGTAGTTATAAATTCATACTTCACATATTGCAATTGTTATCACAATATTTATTAGTCTTTTACTTGAGTTTTATATTTTGAATTTTTTATATTTGTTATTAGTATTGAATTTGTAGTTAATAAAAATAAATAATCTTGATTTGAAAAGTATTTTAATAAAAAATTGAAAAATCGTAATATTCAATAATCTTGTTCACGTAAGAGAAGTAGCCAATGCTTTTCCCGAATTAGAGATTCAAACTACAAACTAGTTTTAACATTACACTTAAATTATTTGAATAATAGTTACAGAAGCATATATTGTTTGATACTTTTTTTTATTGATACTGATCATTATGCAAATTATAAAGCAAAGTATTCTAATGAACTATTTAATTGCATTTTTCTATTTAATTGCATTTTTTCTTTTTTTGCTCTATAATAAGTATTACCTATTCTGCATTTAATTTTTCTATCATTTTATTTTTTTTCTTTAATTTCTTTATTCCGTTCTTTGATCATTTTTAACAAGTATTTTCCACTTTATCTTTTTCGTCTTGTATTTTTTTCAATTCATTTTCTAAATTTTTAATTTTTATTTTATTCTTTCTGTTGTGAGCTTGTAAAGCTTTATAATTATCTTCAAATATAGCATAATTTACTTTTAGACTTGAATGTTCTGTGAGAAGTTCACCATATCTCTTATTGATATCTCTAAGTTTATTTTCAGATTCAGTGATTTTTGCTTCTAGTTCTTTATATGATGATTTAAGATTCTCGTATTCTGATTCTAGAACTGCATATTTTGTTTTGAGTTTTGTATAATTTTTATCTTTTAATTTTAAATCTGCATTTTCAGTTTTTAATATTTTATTCTGTGATTCTAGGGCGTGATTCCTTTCTTCAGCTTCTTTATTTTTTACTTTAAAATTTGTGTTATTTATTTCTAGGGCATAATTTCTTTCTTTGATCTCTTTATTTTCTACTTTAAGTTTTGTGTTCTCTGTTTCTAGAGTATGATTTCTTTCTACAGTCTGTTTATTTTCTTTCTTCAGCTTCTTTATTTTTTACTTTAAAATTTGTGTTATTTATTTCTAGGGCATAATTTCTTTCTTTGATCTCTTTATTTTCTACTTTAAGTTTTGTGTTCTCTGTTTCTAGAGTATGATTTCTTTCTACAGTCTGTTTATTTTTTACTTTGAGATTTGAGTTTTCAATTTCAAGCATGTGATTTTTTTCTTTGACCTCTTTATTTTTTACTTTTAAAACATCATTTTGTGATATGAGAATTGAATTTTGTTTTTGAGAATCTCTTGCATTTGCAAAAAGTCTTATCTACATTATATTAATAAGTTAGTTATTATGTTTTAATAACAGTGAACCCCAAAGAAATACTTACTTGTTCGAAGATTATGCTAAATAAATCTTCACGATAATAAACAATTATGCAAAACAAGATTAGTTTAAATTTTAATAGATATTCCTATCTTATAAATTATTGTATATAAGAGTAAAAATCTAACAATAGTTATACTCAAATACACTTATCTTATTTGCTAGTCCAATAGTATCGCTGACAGTATCATAATTTTTCTGTTCAAAAAAATTTTTTTAAGTATAAAAGAGATAAATACTAATTTAATTAATTTAATATATTTATCTTAATAATATATGGGATAATTTCTAACATAAAAAGTATGACAACCTTGGTAATATATTTTTAATAACCTTGATTACCATTGCAAAAAATATTAATCACTTGTTGTTGGTCAAGAATTGGACTTAGTCTTGTCACATGAGGATCAGAATTATATTGATCTGGTAGATTTGATTTATCTTTAAGCATTGAGTTTGTTAAATTAAACTGATTTGATTCTGGTTTCGAATGTTGAGATAAGCTGAAGTTGAAGTCTAAGTCATTAGTGAAAAATCTGAGCATTGAGGAACTGATATAATTTCAGATGATTTAGAGCAAAAAATCAATGCTTGATTTGGTTTTGGATAATAACTTGTAAGAATTTTCTTATTATGTTTAGTTTTTTCTTTTTTTCTTTGTTTTCAGTTTTGATTTGTTATATAATTCTATTTAAGAATATTTTAAACAAAAAAAAATTATTCCTTAAGTTTAATAAAATAACTTAAAAAATAATGATTTCTTATACCATTGATATATTTCTGTGCTGCCAATATAAAATTGTCACCATATTCATTTGCATCTTTAATACTTATTAATAAATCATAAAATTCATTTGATTGTTTACTAAATTGTAATGTTTTATTAATTTCCAAACTAAGAGGCTGGGTCAAAAAATGATGATGATATTTTTGATAATTTTTAGATATTAAAATGCTTTTGTTTAATGTGCGAATTTTGATTTTACTCATCACAAAAAAAGGTTTCAAGTTTGATGTTGGGACTATTAAATCTCACTTTCTTTAAATAATGATCAAATGAATATACGCATTTTAGAGCTAGATCTAATCAGTACATACTACACAGATTTTTTCTGTATTTAGATTATGACTATGTTGTATAAATTGCCAAAATATTTGTCAAAAGTTTATGAATACGAGTACATTGATAAGGAGAAATTTGTTAAACAGTATTATTGAAACCAGTTTATAAATTTTATACTATATACAGTAGGTTGTAAACTAAAATTTTTAGAATGCATAAAAAATATTAACTTGTTTATATACTCTAACAACTTAAACCCAGTTTATATTATAATGAAGTAAAATTTCATACAATAGCAACTGCCTGTAGATATGATAATTAATCCATAAACAGTATAATCAGTCAATAGACTTCCTAGTATAAAAAATTATATTGCACAAGATGATGTTTCACTTTTCATGCTTTTGAATCCTTTAAAATCACTATTATGGATTTATATAGATCACGTGAATTTTATAGTTTAAGTTGTTATTGTAATATAAAAAAATTAAAATAGCATTTTAAACCAAATTTGGTATTGATGCTTAATACAGTATAACCACAAAATAATGTGCAGGGTGTATTTTCAAACTTCAACCTGAATTAGGCATAATTCAGGCCGAAATTCGAAATAACGCTAGTACGTATAAAAAACTATTAAAATTTTTTTATTGAATTTGATTATTTGTTGTTGAGTTATTCTTGTTTAATGTTTTAAAAAATTTACATAGAAAAAATATGCATTTTTACTGACTCACTCTATATAGCAATAA